CGTCCCATTTTTAATGAAATGTATGCCAGATTCGACCATCGAACCTAATGGAACTTAATCAAAGCTCCATGGGTTCGATTACGAAATCAAAAAGTCATCCCGGCACGAAACTCGCGCCGGTGCCAGTTTTCTCACGTAAACACCCCCTAAACCTTTTTTGTGAGATCTGAGTTCGATTCCGTTTAATTACCGAACTTAATCGAACGCAATCAATCGATTAAACTCGACTAAGTTCGATTAAGTTCGATTAGTAAAACGTTCGATTTGGTTTCTGTGGTAACGCCGGGACAAGTTTGTATACCGTAAATCGAGTGCCCAGAGTCCTAGAACAGGCTTACAACCTCTTACACCCACCTCCTTGTCCCGAGGGCAAAATTTCCTTTACTTTCTCGTAGATATCTTTGATTTGCTGCGAGTTTGCCACATCCATCTGAAATGTTTTAAGCCTCTCACTCGTCTCTGATTTCAAAATCTGTTCCCCTTCCTTTGTCAGACAATTCGCCAACACATGAACTCCCATCTTATCCAGGCGAATGGCTGTTTCGTGACCGAACCCAGTGTCGCAGCCCGTAATCACCATAAATTTGTTTTCGAAATCATTCACTTGCCTTTTGGAAAACAGTCTGAAGACGATCACTGTCGTTAAGGCCAAAGTTGCGATCGTTATCATACTGGTCAGAGGGACGCTGTAGTTAGTCAGTAAAAACCACTCTAACATGTTTAACCTTCCTGTTTTCTCGATACAACCTTCGATAATTCCGTAGTAATGAAAATAGTACCACGTGACCAAGTTTTTCATTTAATTGTCGTTTACTTTTCATTATCTGTCTTCACTATAAATTGATAGTTCACGCAATTTTTTATCCATAAGAATTGTTTTGAGCAGCTTTTAGATGTGCCCATTTCCTATTTTGAGAAATTCTTAGAAACGATAGAGAACGGCATTAGAGATAGAGAGTTTAAAAACTCTCTAGTGCTGTTGGTCAAGGTATATCCTTATGGGCCCGCTTCCTCGAGCAATGGCTTTCAAAACGGAAAAGACCAAGACCCTTCGTTCGGGTCTTGGCTCGAAGTTTAGGTCATGTTAGGTCATTTGTTTCAGTGAGAAATGATATTTTAATGTTCTGTTTTTTTTTTCTTTCTTTTTTAGCAAGACGCATTGGGCGGTAGTTAGAACCAACTAGTTTATTTTTTTTCCTTTCTTTCTTAGGAGTCGGTCTTGCATAGCCGATGAACACGCTCTCCACTTGGGGGAGTCGAGAGAGGTCACACGAGAGCCACGCACGAAAGGAGAGGCAAGTGCGAGATGTGGGGAAAGAAAGGAGAGCTCTCTTTTTCCTCCTTCCCCCCCTCGGCTTCGCCGCCCACTTGCGCGCTCTCTCGCCTCTTGAAGTGGAAAGCCTGCTGGCAGGCTACCTGAATCAATACAGTCCAGTCTCAATAGAAGGCTGATTTTTGTTTTAAGTATTTCTCTGACTACTAAATTCAAAGCAAAGCTTTATTTAAGTGCACAGCTTTGTAAAATCTCAGCAAGTTCACAGCAACAATGCTAATATTAAAACAAAACTGAATGCAGGCCTGGCACTACGGCAACAAGGGCTGATTTATTATAGGCCTATAATAAATCAGCCCTTTGCCGTAGTGCCAGCCCTACATTCAGTTTTGTTTTATTTTACCGGCACTTAAGTGACGTCTGGCTACAGCATCTCTTTGATTAGACATCCGGCAAGAGGAATCAGTCAGTTATATTTACGCTTTGCGTGGACCTCTGCATTCAAACAGTTTTTCTTAATGCAAATATTGTTGCCATCATATGCATCTTGCCAACTAAGGCACGTCCCAGACCCTTTCCTCCACCACCCCCCATCCCCCGTTCGACATGCCCACAAACCTCACATTAAGGATAATCAATTAAAATTCCACGTGCTTGAGTTTCTAGCGCTACATTTTCTTGTGTACTCTGTTTAGCGGGGATAGCGGAAAGAGATGAGGGTTTTCTTCGCCCTTCTATTCATTGGTGGAACATATGCAGGTAAAGTATAACACGCGAGCCGCAATTTACATTTCATAATCACATATGCATATCCATGTAAAAATTTTGTATATCTTATTTGAAAGCTGAAAACACTCCAAGGGTGTGGGCCTAAGCGGGAACCTTTTTGTCAGCCACGGTATCTGCAAAGGTTATCAGTGGAAGGAGAGTCGAGGAGGAAGGGATGTAATGTAACATAGGACAGACCATTTTCTAAAACTGGGAACAAGGTTACATTTTATACATTCAAAATGAGCTAAAATGCTTGCAAGAACGTAACACAATCAACTGTATACATGAAAAAGAAGCTAAATGCACGAAACGAAAAAGTTAACAAGTATTGAGCACTTTAGTTGAAGCCGTTATGCCGGAATAGTGATAGGGTGGCAATTTAGTAAACGATTCCGATGTTACAAGAGGTTCGACCAGACAAGGTTCGACTGTATTTTGTACACGCTGGTTTTGCTCTCTGCATATAGGACCTGTGGCGTGACCGTATAGAAAACAGTTCTGATCCTTTGCGCCCTGAGTTTTCGGAATGCGATGTTACAGATCTGATGAGAATTTCTGGGAATTTAAACTTGTTTTTCTTTGGTCAAATACGTATTAGATTTACAATGCTGTCTCCATGCAGGAGAGGTTTTCGTGAATTTCGTGATTCACAATTTTCCTTTATTATTTCATCAAAGTATGGTGTTCTATTGTAGCTTATTGTGTTGCGCGATCTTTTGTTCTGTTACTTCATTATATCACTGACGTGTTTGGTATTTTCCCGGGGGGGTACTCCTGAGAATTCTTGGTGGGGCTGTGCCGAAGACTTCTCCAAATCCTGACCCCGATTCAGACCAAAAAATGTCATAGTTTTACACACGTTTTCTGACCTGGCCTCCAAGAAATTATGTCATAATTACTTAGATAAGATTTCTTATACTCTGAATTCGCGTATTTCTCTTTCTTTCTTATTCATTTGGAACTGAAACGATAAATACGTTCATACACTCCTATAGTTTCCTCGAAAACCATAACTAATTCTAGACCAAAATGGACGAAGTCTGTACTCGTTTTCAGACCAAAACGGCGTAAAAATCATACCCTTTGGGGCGGCACAAACCTATATCGGGCTTACATAATGGAGTACCCCCTGGGGTATTTTTTCATGATTTAATATGATTAATGTAAATCAAGTAGAACGCGTTCTTTGTTGTTAAAGCTTTAACGCCCTGTCCACACCAATGCGTTTTCGTTGTCAGGGGGTTTGCTTTTCAGGATTTTTACGTGAGACAACAGCCTTTCCATCTTAGCCCTTACAGTATGCCCCTTACAAACGGACGAAAACATTGTTGGCCAACAACTCCCAACATTGTTAGTTGTTACATGTTGGGTCTGTTCGCACGGCCCTGTTGCACGTTGTTGAGTGTTTTTGAGAGTTGTTGCCCAAAGTTTGAAACCGTTCAAACTTTTAGCTACGTGAAAACGGACGCAACAACTCCCAATGACATTGTTGGGCGTTGTTACATCTGTTTGCAAGTAGTTTTAGACATACTTTTATCCAAAGGTAACAGATAACAACAGGGCCAATTTAATTTATAAGACGATTTTTTTTCCGCATCGTAGAAAGCCTCGTGCAATTTTGTTATGGCAAGTTCTGTAGGCCAGTTTATGAGTTTATCATCCTAAATAATAACCTACGCCAGGGTCAGCGAACTGGAGACTACTAATGGTTTTTTGACCGCTACCTATCATGACTTATTAGATTGATATGTGTACATGTTTTGTAAGTAGTGCTGTTGATCTTGTTTTTTCCGTTTAAATTATGCTGGAAGAATTCATTTCCTCTGAATGTTGCAAGAATCACGAAATAAGGCAACGATAACGTTTTTTTTTTTACTACTAATAAAGAAAATTATTTCTGGTAACTGTCTTTTATGCTCAGTTAGCCGATTATTGTACATTCATAGTAATCTTCATTTAAAGGTGATGTTACAAGAGACGATTCCCAACGGCGATTTTTAGCGCAACACAACGTTGCAACATTGTTGCGATATTGTTTCGAATGGTTAAAACATATTTCCAGCATTGCAACGCTGTGTTGCGCTAAAAATCCTCGTTGTGAATCGTGCCATGTAACATCACCTTAAATGAGATGTGTCACGAAATTTATCAAAATTCAAACCGTGGGAACCCACAACAGTCGCGAACCTGATTGTAACATCAGTAAAAATAACTGCTTAAACATTGAAAACAAGGTATAATTACATAGCAAACACAGATGGACGGAAGCCGGATGAACAAAATTGAAGAAGATTAAAACGGAATAACGATTGTGTTTTTTTAAAACTTGTTGGCCTAAACGTTTTTGAAAGGTAATTGTCGTTGCCTATTAGTTTGATTTAATGCTTGGGAGAAAGGCATATTTTTTCCACACGAAGCCGTAATTTTGTCATTCACACTCTCTTGTAATTCACAAGTGATTTGTTAAGTTCCATAGCGAAAAAGGACGCTTCTTAAAGTGTCAAGTCTTCTAGCTGGCCTAAAGAGACCCTCGAACAGTTCTAATAGGGGACATTAAAAGATACCGTAAAATTCCGAAAATAAGCCCCGGGGCTTATATTTTTCAAAGGCCCTTTTTGAGGGGCTTATATTCGGAGGGGCTTATCTACGGAGGGAAATTTGCGTTTCAAATCGATTGGGCTAGCTTATAGTTGGAAGGACTTCCGCTTTTGCTTTATTTTACTTTGTGTTTGAGGGCAATTTTCCAAGTACAAGCCCCCCCCGGGGGGGGGGCCTTATAGTCGGAGGGGTGATTTCACGGAGGGTTTTTTTGTGTTGCGATTTTGTGTAGCTTATATTTGGAGGGGCTTATACATGGAGGGGCTTATTTTCGGAATTTTACGGTAAATGTTACTGAACTGAAATAAGGGACTGACCAGATTGACTGACCCACTGACTAGATTGTTTTTGTCATTCAACAGCTAATTACTCCTGGCCTTTTTATCCAATTGCTAACCAGGCATTGTATGGTTACGACCAAGCAGCCGACAAATCTTTCAAAAGCGAGAAAATCCCAAATGGCGTCAGAACTCAGGTGGAAGATGGAATCCAGGCTCTGTTTGTGCCTGCAGGAGAAGAAGTCGACCTTGGTGACTTTGCTGGTACGTGCATCAGTAATCCATTTCTCTGTCAGAATTTTACAGTGTCATTTCTCTTTAAAACTGGAGCCGATAAAGATCTAAAGGTCCTGAATTCGGGCTTGCGTGCTGATGACCAAACATATGAGTACGAGTATGGCTGGTCATTTGAGATTTCTCCCTATTCTGGCAGTGCTAAAGTGACATTCCCCTGTGATGGCGCGGGCAGCGAACTGGCGGCTCGCAATTCTTGGATTCAAATAGTTTTTACTTTTGATTACGGAATAATAACCAACGTAGTCCTCTATCAAAATTATAATGGCACACTAGTAAACAGTCTGTTGGTATCGGAACATAGTTATGTGGATCAAGATCGGAACACGCGTCTGAAGCTTGGCTCCACATCCAACACAAAAGGGTTCTTTATAAGCAACCTAAACTTTATTGGAATTAAGCTGAGTGTAGAAGAAATTCAAGAACTTGGGAACAGGAGTTTTAAAGAAGGNTTACGGAATAATAACCAACGTAGTCCTCTATCAAAATTATAATGGCACACTAGTAAACAGTCTGTTGGTATCGGAACATAGTTATGTGGATCAAGATCGGAACACGCGTCTGAAGCTTGGCTCCACATCCAACACAAAAGGGTTCTTTATAAGCAACCTAAACTTTATTGGAATTAAGCTGAGTGTAGAAGAAATTCAAGAACTTGGGAACAGGAGTTTTAAAGAAGGTATGATGAAGGGTCCGTTATTAAATGAAGTATAACTTAAATCCTTTTGCAGGGTAATTGTTTTAAGCAAGACAGAATAAATGGACAGAGAAAGAAACGCTAATTCTAGCCCTTAGGAGATGAGAATTTCACCAAAGTTATGTTTAGACCAATGAAACACTTGAAATTAATCGGAAATAATTTTTCGCAGAGGTCCGCAAAGTTTTGTTTGGTCTTAGAATTCAACAGTGGCCATTAAAATATTCTGCATTGTTTGTTGTGAGGAAGTCAGTCGCCAGTGGACTTGATGACGTTTTAAACAATGGATAAAAATGTGCGGACGTCTCAGGAATTAGGCTTTCGTTCCATTACATCCTGTTAAAATAACTCAGCCAACGCCCGAAGATTCCATCTCTGGTCCATTATTCTCTCTTGTTGCGTTCGACGTAAGGAGAACGCAACACATAATCTTGGGATTCCTGTGGTACTCAAGGGTGACCTTTTGTAGTACTCATTTCGTCGTACGTCTGCATTTTCTGCGCCATTTTGAATAATTTATCTCGTGGGCACAAAAATGTTAAAAATAATTGATTTAACTTATGGTCTTAGCAATTTGGTTGCGTAGCGTAATGCATAATGCGTTGCTCTTTATACACGTCGACTCTCTTGACGTCGAATGTCTTGGGTTCCACTCCTGCCCATTGAGACTTTTTTCTTTTTTTCTCGTAGTCGTTTTGCTTTGTTTTGTTTCTTTTTTTCAAAAAAAACATATAGGAAGCGTTTTGCAGCACCAGTTTATTAGGAAATAACGTCACATTTGAGAGTAAACCTGAAAAAGCTCGAACGCAGTTCCCAACCTACGATTACCACTAGTTTTAAGTAGATAAATGATCTAGTCTGGCTTAAAAGTCCACCAGACCCAAAGGTCTGTTAGAGAGCCGATTATGCAGTACATTCCGATTTGGTTAAAGACTAAGATCATGAGTTTTGTCTGGCTACGGGGATTAAGTCCGCGGATTCCCGCTCTGCAGTTTTTAACATACAGTTCAATGAAAACACAATAGTTCAATATAACCACGCCGGAAGTTCAATAACGGCACATTTGCTCAATGTCATGTCACTCAAAAAGCATAATATAGAGCATTTATCTCCCTAAAGCTACCAACTCGTTAATTTAAGGAGAAATTTGAAAGTCCAATTATTTCTCAAACTGCGGCCTAAGTTAGCCCGAGGACAGCCGTCGCCTCTCTCAAACAAAAACCAGGGTTGCCACTGTCAGGGAAAAGTCAGGGAAAGACGAAAAGTTTTCAAGGTCAGGGAAAAGTCAGGGAATTTGTTAAAAAGTCAAGGAAAATCTTTGATATTGTCAAAGTCAGTGAAAAGTCAGGGAATTCTGTTTTCCGGTTTATAGTTCATAAGTTTTCTTCAAGACTTTGACATGCATTTTCTTTCGGAAAAGATGAAAAGTATACTGCAAAGCAAGCAAAGCGATCAATTTTAACACTGTATGCCTGACACATGTAGTAGTTGTGGTCCGTGGTTTTCGTTGTAAATGCTTTCTTCCAAATTCCTTCTTCCCCTTTCCGCGAAAAGCGGAAAGAGGTTGAAAATGAAGAGAAAAATATCGATGGCCTGCAAAAAAAGCTAAAGTGAATGTAAACCTTGATTGTTTCTCATTAATAAAAGGTCAGTGAAAACTGTTTAAAGATCAGTGATAAGTCAGGGAAAAGTCAGGGAAATTTTAACTTTCTGATGAGTGGTAACCGCGATAAACGTCTCCCTACTTGATTATGTTTGAGGGGAGGAGGAGGCTGTAAGCAGCCTAGCCTAAGCTAGACTCGATCGGTTTGATTAACGAGTCTTAGAGGTCTATACAAGAGAATGTAGAATGCATTGATGTATTCACTACAATTTATTTCGCCAATAGCAATGGAGGCAAAGAATGTCACAATTGAGATTCTAGAAGCTCAAGTAATAATACCAGCAGATGCTGGCATGGCAGTGATACGCATGCGCCGTCAGGGATTTCTTGCTATTGCTACTGCAGTGAAGTAAGTACTGAAACAGTCCATGCTAAAAAGGGGAAAAATAGAAGAATGTAGCTCCTAATGTGGTACGGCCAAAAGAAGGTGAATTCTTATTGTGGTATAGTTCGTGGTTTGTAAATGGCAATGACGTTTTTATGGTCTCGAGCCAGGCTTTTTGGTAGAGGAAAAAAAACAAATGAGCCTTTTTTCCCCACTAACGAACCGGGTCCGAGGCTAACTTTGTCGGCGTCCATGAGTTGTGTTTTAAAAACTAGCCGGTATAATCACTAAACAGTCTCAAAATGACGGTCCTCCGAGGTGTTTTTAATCAATGGTAGTCTTTACACTAGAGCATAAATAAGCTAAGAAATATTTCAAGACAAATAAATTTTAATTACCTCAAGTTTACTAAAGCTTCACACACAACCGGTTCTTTTTTACTTCAGGTTATTTCCCCACGCAACAAAATTAAGATTGATTGACATGTCTCGCTTTTATCAAAGCTCAAGAAACCGCAAAACCTCAAGTCAGCTAAGTCGGTCATAAGGATGGTTTTCAAGTCGCTTGAAACTTTCTTGAATCGTTTCAACTTTCCGACTTTAATGAGATGCAAAGCAAAGTTACTTGAGATTTTACTTAGGCCTTCACACGAATTTTTGGTTAAGCAAAACTTAGCGGCTCTTAAGTCTTACTTAACAGCCTAGTGTAAAGACAACCAGTGTTATCAATTTCAGCACTGAAGAATACGTACCAACTCCGGGGGGTGGATGATCATAAGTGAGACCTCTCGTCTGGGGCTATGCTATGCTAATGAGTCCTAATGAGGACGAAACAGCTGTCCATGGCTGCCACTGCCTGGGTGATATGGTTGTGCGCATGCGTAAGGTACTCGGGCCATATCGCGGAGTTGATACGTGTGCTACAGTGCTGAAATTGGAATTGTTTGATTTTATGCTTGATATAGATGAGAACGTTGTCAGACGGGACTCCTTAAAACGTTTTCAGTGTTTTGCTGTCCTTGGTGCGGCAGTACATACGCATGGTGCCCATTTGGTCAGGATGTACGTGTTACCCCACGGAGGGTTGACAAGTTTAAATTTAAGAGTTCATAGCATTATTGTATGAGACTGAGTATGATCTGAAGAGTTATCCAGTTCGTAGGGACCAGTTATTCGTCGGCCTCGGCGAATCACTCCCTGCTATAGATTTACAATAATTCATACATTAGAAACAAACTTATATTCTTACCTCGAGCGATGTAAAGTTACCTTCTTGGCAAATTACGGATTTAAAGAGATTGTTTACTCCAGCCGATGTTGCACAAAAATCAGTTGCATACGTTGAGTTATATCTTTGCTGTTTTTCGCCATGTTTTTAGGCATTAGTTCTGCTATCTTCTTCGCAAAATGTGTGAAATTTTCCGCTATTTTCTCAAGCACTACGTACACCAAGACAGCCAAGCTAGCGCAACTTCNTATTGTATGAGACTGAGTATGATCTGAAGAGTTATCCAGTTCGTAGGGACCAGTTATTCGTCGGCCTCGGCGAATCACTCCCTGCTATAGATTTACAATAATTCATACATTAGAAACAAACTTATATTCTTACCTCGAGCGATGTAAAGTTACCTTCTTGGCAAATTACGGATTTAAAGAGATTGTTTACTCCAGCCGATGTTGCACAAAAATCAGTTGCATACGTTGAGTTATATCTTTGCTGTTTTTCGCCATGTTTTTAGGCATTAGTTCTGCTATCTTCTTCGCAAAATGTGTGAAATTTTCCGCTATTTTCTCAAGCACTACGTACACCAAGACAGCCAAGCTAGCGCAACTTCGTCACAGATCTTCTAGGTTGCCGTGCCTTTTCTTGCAATTACCCTGTAGCACTGATGTCATTTTATCGGATGTTGCAAACGCCTTCAAAAATTAAGTCAACGTCGACTGATTGTGAAGAATCAGTCGGGGGATTTGTGCCAATCAGAAACAGAATTTTTTCGTTGAATTAATAGTGACACCTATTGTCTGTGTTGTACTTTCTTAAGCTATGATATGAAAAGCTTTACAGCGGAAGCAAACAAACACTACAAGGCTGCTGCTGGGGAGCAACTGGCATTTGCTCCGGGAGAGATTTACAAGGAAGTTAAAATTGGTATCATTAACATGGATAACAGCTTTGAAGGCAACAAAACCTTTCAAGTCATTTTCTCACGTTCTCAGCGGTCCGTGTCGATGAAAGGACCGCAGCAGGTCAATGTAACTATTATGTACACTAAAGGTAAGGGGACAATTCCATCATATATACCTTTTTTTTTTTTTAAACCGGGCTACTAAAAAATGTCAGTCTCTCTCCCAGTGATTGTCGATTTAATGACCCTTTTTTTACGGGAAAAGGAAACTCTTACCAGGAAATATATATTGTATTCATCATGCACTCACGCGAAGCTTTCTTTCTTAGGCTGGAAAATAGGACATTTTACGGATTTGTTTCATTATCAGCGTCGCCGATTGCAAAGCCATTCCCCCAATTTAACCCAATTTTGCTATGCCATTGGCCTCCCAAATACAATCCCAAACACCATTTCTCGAAGACAAGGAACGAAAAAACGGATTTACCGGACGTCAAAGGTGAACAAAGCCGATACCATGTTTGACTTAACCTTTGACCCGCGTCAAAAGTGCAGTAAATCCAATTTTTCGTCCCGTGAGAAAAGAGGTCCAACAACCTCTAATTCAACTGCTTGCTGACTTGAAAACATTAGCAACAGCATGTTTTATTGCTGACATGAAAATTGCACCAAGAAACTGCAAAGGCCAAGCGCAGTAAAACCTACCCCCTGCAATTTAACCAGGCTACCCCAAATACACACCAGCTGATAGCCCTGTGCCTGTGCAACCAGCTGACCCCCACCTGGACAGAGACACTGAGCCCAGGGAAACAGGAATAAGCCGCGGTCGAAATTTCAGTACAGCCACAGTCCAGTACAAACCTGGAATTTAACCAGGATACACCAAATGCATACCAGCTAAGAACGACGTCCCTGTGCAACAAGCTAACACCCACCTTGACGACAGCCCTCTTTCTCAAAAAACGATTGCTTGCTCAACGGGGGAAACAGGGTGGCCCGAACCTTCTCGAACAATTTTTCAAGAAGTTCTAAGAATCGAGCAAGGAAGCATAGAAAGGCGGCAAAAGCCGGCTAGACATGGATAAGGGTGTGAAAAACAAACACGGGATCTACGCCAAAACGGTTGTAAACACCACAAAGAAACCAGGAGAAACACACAGACACTTGATCCACAGTGCAAGGAGGGGATAGACTTTGCAAGAGATGGAAACGAAACCAACTGAAAACCACCATCCTCACGATGATGAATCACTACATCAAAAGCGACCAGATCCTTCTTACCTGCCCAGAAAAAGTTCAACAAAGCGGGGTTCAACTCATGCAACACCCAAGAAGGCGTGGAAACAAGAGAAGCAGCGTACCAGATGCAGCACAGCGTCAGAGCGTTGGAAACCATAGCGCGACCACCATACGACAAAGAGCGGTGGCGTCAAGAAAGCACTTCTGCACCGCATCAAATCGAGGCTCCCAGTTCACCTCACTCAAATCACTATTTCCAATAAATCCCGAGAACTTTGATCTTCGTGGACGTCCGAATAATCTTAGAGACCTTAAGCAACGACGACGACGACGACGGCAGTGAAAACGTCCTAAAAAAACGAATTTGCGTTCTTTCAAATTAGTGGCGTCTATTTGGACCCGCTCAATATATATGTCAAATGCAGGCAACTTTTCCTGGAAATGTATTCTTAAGGATTTTATCCAAGTTTAAAAAGGAGAAGGAAAATTCGTCGTCGTATGTCCACGTCCTCTATAAAACGTCAAATTAGGAGGTTTCACGTCGTATTCGTGCAGTGGACGTCAAGGAAATGTACTAAAAAGCGTGATGTACGTGCATAGCTGTTGTTTTGATCATTAAACCTATTGTTTTATGAAGTTGTCGTCGTCGTCGTCGACGTAGTTGCTTAAGCTCCCTATTAACAGGCCAGCGAATCGGTACCTCCACGCCACGCCACATCCCCAGCCACACGCCCTCGCACTTAAAAAGATTTTTAAAAAAAGCTTCGAACCCGAACCCTTCTCAAACACAACGTAAGTATCCAAGGTAGCACGAATGGCACTGTCAGTAGAAACGACAGCGGAAGTATCATCGGCATACAGCGACAGAACCGGGAGAAGAGAAGGAGAGCAAGGCAGCCTTAACCTCACAATTTCCTCGTGGGCACGGATATTAGGGACTTTAAGATCCAACGACGCGAGGCAACGAAAACGTCGCTTAAAAAGTGAATTTGTGTTCTTGCAGTCTTTATCGCAATTATTCCTACCCACTTACTTTGTCAAATGTAGGCGGACCCCCCTGGAGTTGAATTCCTTGGGAACGTGATATCCAAGTTCAGAAAGAGAAATAAAATTTCGTCTTTGCTTGTTTACGTAGTCCATAAACCGCGAAATTAGGCATTTTCAAGTCGCAGTCGCGCAAGAGAAGGTTTCAAAGACGGTGATACATAACCGTCAACAAGAATAGAACTACGAATATCCGTATACAGAAGTTTAACCCTGCTAATAAGAGAGGGGCTGAAGCCCGGCCATAGACAAAAGGGTACGCAAAAGGCAAAGACCAATCAATCGAAGGCCTTCTCTTGGTCCAAAGACAAAATGGCACGAAGTAAAGCAACGTTTTCTACAATTTAACGGGAAGGCACTCCACAACGATGTAAATCACCTGTGGCACTGTGCTACTGATATTGCATCAAAGATATCATCTTTTGAATACATAACTTACCAGAATAGATTATACACTGGCCAACCTCAGTTGATCACATTACCGAAGTTTACCTAGTTATTTTGGAGCAGGTTAGATGTAATCAAAAACTCATAACTGAGACGTTCTTTGTGGTAGAAGAGCAATACGTACCATGAATGCCAAACGTATCTTGAAAGTTTAATAATCTGTTGTGTTCCCCATTCCTTTTTTCAAGGTACTGTCCGATCAAAAGCAGCCATCACAGATGGTATGTATTCAATGTAACCTTGTTACAGTTACACTTGGTACTTTTACTTTAATGTTTCCTTTTTTTGTTTGTTTGCGTGACCGTTCGGGTAAATTACTAGCCATATCAGATTTTAGGCTTCACTAGTTGGTGTTATGTATCATCTTTCATTTATTTATTTTATTTATTTATTTACACCACTACTTCTAGCGTAAGATTACAGCATTACATTCAAATTGAGATAAAATTCATAGTACCGTAATTACAATGCATAATATCTTAATTAATCTTGAATAACAATACATGCACAGTTTAAGTTGAACGAGAACACTTTCATAAAAAGGTAATAAAGAAAGTGAGAAAAACAGTGAAACAGTGAGTGGTGAGAGGACCACACAAAGCCAAAGGCTTCCGGTACTATCTGAGAGACTGAAACCACAGGCGGCCCAACGAGTCACACACTCAAATTAGTAATTATGTACATCAAAATACAACGCATTAAATTTTACCGGCACTTATATTTCCTAAACATACCCTTAAGTCCATTTTCTAAGTTTAGCTATTTTACTCGCTAGAATGTTAAGAGAAAGGACTTACAGTGGAAACTCGGGGTTAAAGGAAATCGCTTAAATCGCAATGGATCGGAAATATAACCACACAGCAAACAAAAACAAGCAAAGTAAATACGGTAAGCTGTATTTTATTGAACATTCTAGCGAGTATTTATCGATTTGAATCTTTTACCTGAATTCCCATACAAATCCTTTATACTCACGGCCATTTTAAATTACGCAACATAAAACTACATGTATTAATGATTAAACTCACACACTGAGCTTGGGCCGCCTGTGCTGAAACAGGCTATAAGTGTTCCTTCAGATGGTTCTCGCAGTAGGCCGAACTTTAAAGTCGGTCGATTTTTTTGTTCGTGTTTTCTATGCAAAAACGGGTAAACAACGGGTTAACAAAGAAAAAGACGGGTTCCGAAATCGTAGTGTGTTCCTGGCCAAAGATCTGCCAGCACTAAAACTTATTATTTTACATCATGGCATAATATAATAATATTTTATATCGTCTGTTAATCAGGGGGTCTACTTTATTGCTTTGTTTTAACACTGTTAAACCTGACTGCTGGTCGGCTTCGATAAAAGAAAAGGTGCGGAAGGAAAGTAAGTTGATATATATTCACTTATTTTAATTGATTTGGAAACACAATTTGCAGCAATATTTTCACGATTATGACGCTTTTCTTCTTATTTGAGGCGAATTCTGACTTTTGTCAATTCTAAACCTCCCTGTATCAAATAATTCCATAAAACAGCCTGACTTCTCGGTACTGAAACGGCTGGCATCTCTCTACGCGGTTCAACTCCACCACAAAACGGCCATTATAAAATCTTATAACGCAATCGACTAATTGTAGCCTCCCCCGCAGACATTCTTAGGCGTGCGTCGGGGGGAAGGAACGCGTGACACACGCCTAAGAATGTCTGCGGGGGAGGCTAGACTAATTGCAAATAGCAAACATTAGGGCCATTTATACGAGGAAAAATAAGACGCGTCTTACATAGGAAGCGTCTTAAATAAGACGCGAACTGTATCATTTATACGAGCATGTCTTATCTAAGACAAGAACAGCTCGTATAAATGGTTCGCATCTTATTTCTGTTCTTGACTCGTTTTCATGTGAATGTTGCCCGTAGCAACGGCAATACAACGTGGCGCGCCAAAAATTTACGCATGCCTATTATGCGTTCGCGTCTTGTGTAAGACGCGAAGGCCATTTATACGAAGTTTTTCTCGTCTTAGCTAAGTGTTATCTAAGAACAGGTGTTAAGGGCTGTTCTAAAATAAGACGCGTCTTATTTTAGGCGAAATGTGCCGTTTTTACGGAAAGTTCGCGTCTTATTTAAGACGCGTCTTATCTTTTCTCGTATAAATGGCCCTAATGTACAAACTCATTGACAGAGTATACCTTCAATGCTTTGCTTTATTGTAAATTTGTTTTATCGATATGTTTTTAACAGTCACGTATTAATATATGCATAAAAATAATTTAAGAAAATGTTCTACCGATCGTTTCATATGACATACCTACAAGGAGCTCCTTAGCCTGAGTGGCGGGCGCAAAAGGGGAGGGGAGGGTTAGGGCAATTTCGCTAAAGTAAAATGAGGAAGAGGAATCCTTTTCCTTCTCTCCCCATCCCCACTCCCTTTTTCCGTTCCTCCACGCCAGACACGCAGGCTACTATCTCCCCATAACATACACCTCTCTTATCTCTTTTATCTAACTTCCAAACGAAAATTTCCGAATTTTTTTTTTTTTTTTTGCAGAAGGGTGATGATGAAGGAAAGGAGAGAACATATAACTCTGATCTAGTAGAGAAGATTACATTATTGTTCTTCATTTTTGGTTCCTGATCTTCTGGTTTTCCTGTTTTCAAAAACGTTGATCATGTTTTTTAGTGTTTAGTGTTATTTACTTATAATTTTTTGTGTTTGCTGTTAAATTGGCCAATAATGTTTACTCTTTCAAGAGAAAATACTGTTTAGTGTTTGGAGGGTTTTCAGTGAAAAACTCGTATCTGATCATTGTAAAAATATATCGTTCACATATGAATATAACGAAGACAAAGTCGAAACTTTTCGGGTGTCTCCTCAGAATATCTTCTCCAGTCTTCGGACATCTTCGGTAGCCTTCGGAAATCCTCAGAAATACTCGGGAATTATCGGAAAATGACCGAAATTCCTCGACATACTAAACAAAATGATTTGGCTTTTTTTGTGCCGTTTTTGTTTCTTTCTGGAAAAAATTGATAATGCAACAGTGAATTTTTTACTGTTAGTGTTAAGATGCCTAAAATTGAACTGTTTCAGGTTACAGAGCCAAAAAAATTAGGGTTATCGAGGTACCCCCATTCGGACCCTCTTTTTTGGGTATATCTTGTCGGCGGCATCTTGAATTACATTAAGTGTGAATAAAAGCTGAATCACTTTTATTTGTTTTAAAATAAATACCTTCACTTTGAGGGTATAGGTTTTGTTGTGTCTGTTGTGAAATAGAAAGAATTATAAACCTGTTTAATGTTTTCCTCTACACCTCTGATTTAGTACTTTCACTTCTCTTACAACTGTACTTTGGGTTATTATGATTTAGTACTTTCACCTCTTGTACAACTTGTATTTCCAGTTATTACAATATGGGCGTAAGAAGAGATATTACATTTCGCGTTGAAGCTATTTAACAATTATTCCTCGAGCCCGAATGGGCTCTGAGTCAATAGCCCATGAGGCCGAAGGCCGAATTGGCTATTGACTCAGAGGTCATGAGGGCCAGAGGAATAATTGTTTTAGTAAATTCCAACTAGTTGGTCAAAAATATCGAGAATAAAAAAAGTTTAGCTAGTTAAAGCTAGACTTTAATCCATTTTTGCCGCCAGAAGCGCGCGCTTTTCGCTACTAGTAGGCTATAACATATAGCCTAGTAGTAGCTCAACCAATCAGAACGCAGCATTGATAATAGACCACTAGCTGGATTTTACTAAATTGCATGATGCGTTGAGTCATTAGTACAGTTATCCGTCGATGACATAACAGTTTGCGTTGATATTAATTATATTTCGGGGCATAAAATAAGAAAAGAATGTTCGCTTACCCTTTATTGCGCAGTGTATGACGGAAAAGGTACTCTAGAGCCTATAGTACATCATTCGTTTAAAGCATTTCTGACCCAGTATAGGAAGAGGACTTCTGGCTACCTTCTTCGAACAACTATATTCACGAAAAATTCAAGCCACTGGGTATTAATTCATAGAATTTGTTCAAACTTTGCCATAATCGAGCCAACAAAGGGAGGTACAAGCCCCGTTAAGCGATTTCTGAAAAAACTCCTGGTACCGAGAAATACAAAGGCAAGTAAAAAACACACTGAAATATCATTGTCTTCAATGTCTTTATTAACAAAAGGAATTGTATCGTATTTACATAGTCCGCCTTCCTAAGAGTGGTATGAATTTACACTAGAGTACACTTACTAACTATAGAATATGTTCTTAACTCAAAATATATAAAGTACTAGAAAATCTTATGTCTTCAAGATTCCTTAAACCTATAATGTATCCAAAATAATGTTTCTCATGCCAATGAATTTTTAGAATAATTCAATCTGGTGAAAATCAGGATCCTTTTCGCACACTCAGGTCTTTGCCTGGGAATAAAACATTTTGACTCAGAGTTAGACTCTGACTCAGCGTTAATATTGTCTGCGTAAGCTTGAAATAAAATCCGCCTCAGGTAAAATAGGGGGGAAAAGAGAAGAACAGCTCCCCCGAAAAACTGTCGGCCAGCACTTGACCGACAGTTCGACAGTTGGCCGGCTACCTTTTATTTAGACTTTTCGGACTTTTTCTCCAGCCTGTTGCCCCAAAGTAACCTCGCATTAACAGCCGACACGAAGTAGAAGAAATAAACTTAATAAATGCCTTAGTTTGACTTTAGTCAGTACGGCAAAACACGCGGTCAGCTATAGAAGTATAGGTTAAAACGAAATCAGTGAACTTTAACACTTTTGCATCAAATCCAAATAGAAGAAATAACCTTAATAAATGCCTTTGTTTGGCTATACTCAGTGCGGCAAAACCCGGTCAGCTATAGAAGTAGGTAAAAACGAAATAAAGTTTAACAGTTTTGCATCAAATCCAACAGCATAACGGGTTTGCGGTCTTTGTGATGTCAGAGCATCGACGAGTGCGTCCACAACTTTATACGTGTCTGGCGACGCCTGGGTGGAAGCTAATTTTCTCAAGCCTTTCTTAACTAAAAAGAAACAGAAAAAGATTGTAAAATCAAGAAAAATTGAGAGATGTGGAGACTACAGTGTTCTCGTTCAGTTTGTTGAAGGTTTGACGCTAAAAAGAAAGGCAATGTAAATATAAATAATACTAGCACGAAACACTGGTCGGTTTAGAACAAAAAGTGGACAGTGCACGGCGATAGAAGTCGTTAACGCATAAAAAGATATTTTATTGGGCAGTTATTC